AAAGAAGAGTCCACAAATGAGGCTCAGAATGTTCCAGAGAGGAGAAAGACAGTAAATAGGGTTCAGGCATTTTAGAAGCCAAGAGGATGTTGCAGGCAGGCGAGAAGCAGTCCATAGAGCAGAGTGACACTGGGAAGTCAGTGCAAGTAAGAACTGGAATGTTCCCACAGGTTTGGCAACATGCAGGCAGTTGTTGACCTTGGTAAGACTTGTTTCCATGGAATGAGCTGGGCAGAAGCCAGATTGCAAAAGAATGAAGAGTGTGTGGAAGGAATATAATGAGTGCAGACCACTTTCAGAAAAATGAACTGATAGCACAATAGCTACAAGGATATGTGGGGTCGAGGGAACTTTTCCCCAGTTTTATTAAAAAATAACAGACATGCACTGCTGTCTACATTTAAGGTACAGAGTGTGATGGTTTGGGTCACATATATTATGAGATGATTACTACAGTAGGCTTGGCTAACATCCATCTTTCATAGTTCAATAAAAAGAAAATGAGAAATTTCTCTTGTGATGAGAATTCTTGGGTTTTACTCTTAGTAGCTTTCCTATATATCACACAACAGTGTTAGCTGTAGTCATCATGTTGTACAGTGCATCTGGGTATTCTTTTTAAGATATAGGGAAGGACTGAACTTATATATATATATGCTAATAGGAAGGGAAAGGACACAAATTCCAGAGCATTGGTGGGATTCTTTGTAGAAAAAAAAGGAAAGACTCCTCTCCCATTGTAGCAAAGAGTTTGGGAAAAGGTTTCATAGCGGTGCAGGTAAGGTATAGTTCTGGTAGTAGAAAATTGAATGAATACATGACTTACAGGGTTTGAAGATAATGAAATAGCATTCCGTGGAAGATGAGTAAAGCTGCTGGTGGGGGCAGGAGGGATGGACTGCTGGACAGTCATGTGGGTCCAGTGGAGACTGGACACCATAATTACAGGGCGCTGGTTGATTATGCTTCAAAGGACCTGGGCGTTTTCTGGACAGTAAGCTTTCAAAGGGAACTGCCACGGCAGCTCTCCTGCCGCCTGTGTCGATGCTGCTGTCTTCTTAAACAAACCTCCCTTTTAGAGGCAGCGCTTTCTTCCCACTTGTGTCTGCAGAAGTGTCCATTTCTTTCCTTTTTTTTTAATAATAAACTTGCCCTAGTGTATATTAAAAAAAAAGAAAGGAAAAGTATTACCACAGCGCTGTCTATACAGTTGGTACCCAAACGTCTTATTCACAGTACTTTGAGTTATAACTATCAGAAGCTTTTAACAGAGACTTATAAATGCACTGGTTTCCAAAACTTAGCAATGCATTCAAATCTATACCATTTAAAAGCTGTACGTTCCGAAGTCCCACTTTGGATTTCTCAATCACTCTTTGTGGATGGAACTCAGAAACTGTCTTTCAGGAGCTCCCTAGATGATCTTGATACAACGCATCTATAAAGTGGCATTTGAGAACTGCTGCCCTTATACCATCCCCACCACCACCACCACCACTCTAAATGCCCAGGGGAAAGAATCTGAGTCAGATGTTATTCAGTAAGCCATGGCCAGGGACCAGGTGGGCAACATGAGAAAGTGGCCACGTAGGGCCTCCATAAGTTCTATACCAGGCCTTTGTTCCAGTTAGGGAAAAAGCCCTCCAAAGGAGAGTGTGAGCTGAGCAGAGCCAGATGGTCTTCCTCATTTAGCAAATGCCTGGTGTTGGGTAAATATCATCTTGCTAATTTGTACTGTCTTCTTTCACAGCACTACTGAGGACAAAATTGCTATATAAAGAGTTCTGAGCTCTTGAGGGTGTTTTATAAAGTTACGTGGTATCAAGATAATTCATCAGTTTTTTTTTTTTTTT